CTCACCCGTCGTCTCCCTTCGGCCTCTGCCTGGCTCCCGCCCCCTGGCCCCCGCCTCGTGCACTCCCTTAACTCTCGCTGCTCAACAGATTAACCGAACTCTCTCCCCCAACCCCCCATTTTCCCCTCTCCAACTCCCCATTTCTCCCGCCTACACCTCCCAGTGACCTCAGGCTGAGAGAATAATTTGTGTTATTATTACACACTCACTCTCCGGAAGACGGATTTCTCTGAGACCCGATATTTATTTCCGGGAATACCCCTCCTCCCCGACTCGCACCCCTTCTCCCGGTTCCCTCTTCCTCTCCCCTTTACCCCCACGGCGCTGACTCAGCTCCCCCTTTTCCACAAAGGCCACCACCCCTCTCCCCTCCCTCTTCCATCTCTCTTCTCAGACTGTTTTCTGCCTGCCCCGTGCCCGCTGTCTGTGTCCAGATGTCCACCTTTCCTTTTCTCTCCCGGCCTCAGCCTCTGGCCTGACCCATCTCACCATTTCCCTGTAGTCCCAAGAAAGAGGAGGCCAACTAGGGAAGGGTCCCACCTCCCTCAGTCATGTGGATCGCCAGGCCCTTCCTTTTTGCCTCCTGGAGCCGAGCTCCCTTCAGAATGGACCATAACCCTAACCAAGAATGGACCTATAACGCTAAACTCAGAATCATAAAACCTCATGTGTAGGATTGATCTGTAAGATCATATGGTTGCCGCCTAAACCTGATGCTTGAATAATCCCTTTACCAAGAGCTCAAATAGTTCTTCCCCAAGACTTCCAATAGGTACCACCCTGCCATCAGGCCAGAAGTATCTCTTAACCAGGAGCTCTGGCCTGACCCTCCAGTTTCCCCGGGTAGCCCTCAGACACTGTCCACCCCCTCCCACTCTCTTCTGTCTTCTCTCGGACTCCACCTCCTATTCTTTAAATTCCTATTTTTAAAAGTTATCTGTCCTCCTTCTGCTCCCCCACTTCCCTCCTTCCCTTCACTGTAATCCAACACTTGTCTCCCCAGTCAAGTGAAATGTCTCCATCTCACTCTTTGCTTCTCCACTCTCTCAGCAGGACACACCCAACTCCTCACTGCCCAACTCTTGCCTCTGTCCCCATCAAGTTCTCTACCTGTCAGTCTCACCAACTCTTATGAAGGGCCCACGAGGGAGGATAATACATTCTTTCCACCCCACACATAGAGAAGCTCCTCCTAGACTGGTAATAAGGGAAAAGCATAGCTTCCATATAGAAATCCTCCAGAATTCCTCAGGACGGAACCAAAACTGTTTTCCTGCTAAAGCCCAACCTCTGACCCCCTCCATTTAAACAACAACAGCAACAACAGATAAGGCCATGCCACACTTTTTCCAAGTATGCTCTTTTTGGTTGAGCTAAAACTGGATATTTTGGCTCTGCATTATTATTTCTCTCACCAAAAATGTTGGGGACAGTAGGGATGTAAGAGGAAGTGGGAGCTGGAGGCAAGAGAAAGGGTATGAGCGACTGACCCCAGGATGTGACCTTGGCATTCTGTGAGAAAAGACCCAAGAGGGGCATAGAGAGGTGAGGTCAGAGCAGCTAACCTTCTGCGCCTTCAGGGAACGAGGTGATTGCAGTGGATTGGAAGGGCCTGAAGGATGTCGATCAAATCAACATGGACAGCACCAGCTCACTGCATGGGAGCAGCCTACATCGGCCATCTACTGAGGTGAGGCCTCTGTGCTCAGCAGCCCTTGTGCCAAAGGACCTTGAAGAGACCCCAGGAACTATCATAAATAAGGCCCCCCCCCCAGTCTCTAGCTGCCTGATGCTTGAATTATCTTCTAAATTCCCAGGCAACATCCCAAACACTCCTTCAGATTGACACCTTTACAGAACATTTCTCCCCATTTTCCTCAAAACACATGCCACAAGAAACATTCTACACTGAGATCCTAATTCCTGGTGTTCACCTCAGGAAAGCCTTCTCCACTTCACACATCCTAGAAGTTTCTCTGAAGAAGGTGGGGTTATTTACTTCCCCGGAAGTACCTGGGATGCCCATTCCCTTTCCTCTCTCCTCACAGCAAACTCGAACCGATTTCTCCTGGGATGGCATCAATGTGAGTGCAGCTGCTCCCAGACCTCCCTGGCCCTCCCCAACTCCTCCTCCTTATCTTCTCCCTTAACCCCTCCATAGACCACAGACTCCAACAAGCACCATGAGCCCCCCCACCACATTCCCTACCTATCTCCCAGTATTCCAAGGCGGTTGGGGCATACACCTCTTTGGGGCTCTCGGGTATAGTAGTTTTCCTTATCATCCGTCCTAGCTTGAATCCTTTTCCCTTGAAAGCATGAACCTCCCCATTATACAGCATGTCCATACCTTTTTATTCCTCTGTCTTTCCTCCCGCGTCCCCTACCTCAGCTTTCCATGGAAGACACCACTTCTATCCTTCCGAAGCTTAAGCGAAACTCTAATGCCTATGGCATTGGGGCCCTGGCCAAGTCATCGTTCTCAGGTGAGACTCCCATCCTTGGGATGCATCTGGGCAGGAGGATACGAAAGACTCCTCATCTCGGTCTCCCTCCTCCTTCAGGCCTGAGGAAGACCCTCACCCTCACACCCCTGACCTATTCGTCCTTTCTGTCAAGCCCTTCTCTTTCTCCAGGCTACCTACCCTTCTCCTCTGAAGTCCTAGGGGTACCTGCCCCAGTGGGGTGGAGTCCCATGGAACTGGGGTGAGGATCATGGGAGGGACTGGTATGGGGATTGTGTGACATTCTGGAGGATGTGGGAAATGTCTGGTTCCTTAGGGATCTCACGAAGCATGAAGGACCACGTGACAAAGCCCACAGCCATGGGCCAAGGCCGAGTGGCTCACATGATTGAGTGGCAGGGCTGGGGGAAGGCAGCAGCTATTCAGCCACAACACAACCACGAGGCCGTGCGCAGGGATACAGATGCCTACTCCGACCTCAGCGACGGCGAGAAGGAGGCGCGTTTCTTAGCAGGTACCTACACATGAAACCCTCAAAAGACACGTTTCGGGATGCCCCTCCAGCCTGATCTTCTGTATTTGAATTGACTCTATCCATATGATGACCACAGGCTACATTTCCCAAATGGCTCCAATTTCAAGTCATCTGACTTGTTAATTCTGATAAGTGCTCTCAAACATATTTTTTAAATCATCTCAGAAAGTGAGGGAAATTAGGTGAGATTTGTGGGTCCCCATCTGTCCCAGATGCCTTCTGTTCTCATTTTGGAACCGTCCAAGCCCTGGACTCCGTTAGTACAGTGGGGGAAAATGCAGGGTTTTGGTCTTGGAAACTCTGCTTCTACTTACGTTTCTAGAAGTTAAAGAAAGAAAGGCCTTGGGGATCTCTTCTAACTTTTGTCCCTTAGCATTAGGAGTCCTGAACCCACTTGCTGGACTCATTGCTTGTGACAACCACTAGAAGGTCAAGGGTATCGGGTGAGGAGACAGGGGTCTACAGAAAAGGTTTAATCCCAGGAAAGTAGTGTAGGTCTGATGATAGGTATTTAGTGTGCTTTCAAAGGTGGCCAAACCTTAATGGCAGATCTCAATAAAATGCCTAGGAAGAGTGCTAGGTCTAGAAGAGAAAGGAAGAGTCCTTGAGATCATGGTGTGGATGACAGGAGAAATATCACTGAGTAGGGTGACAGACATGTAGGGGTAGGCCAGGAACAGTGTCAGCTTTAACTTGCTCATGGCTTTGACTAGAATCGGGACTCCCAAGTCTACCCATCTCCACCATTGTACCCTCCCTTCTCCTCCCAGTTTCCTGAACTTTCAGCTTTATATCACTGTGGACCCACAATCCCATGATACCCTTTTGGGGGTTCTCTGTTGATCATGAAACCCACCCTCTAGATTACAATTCCTAAAAACCTCTGAAGATAAATTTCTGCAAGTCCCCATTTTAATCCCTTAGGACAAGGGTCCCCGACTTCAGGGACCACAGACCAGTCAGGAAACAGATAGCACAGCAGGAAGTGAGCAGTGGGTGAATTCTGCCTCCTGTCAGATCAGTGGTGGCCCACCCTTATGTTCCTTTTTTTTTTTGGTGGTGAGTGGTGTAATTATTTCATGATATATTACAATGTAATAATAATAGAATTAAAGTGCACAATAAGCCAGGCTCGGTGGCTCAGCCTGTAATCCCGCACTTTGGGAGGTTGAGGTGAGTGGATTGTCTGAACCCGCGGGTTCGAGACCCGCCTGGGCAACTTGGTGAGACCTCATCTCTACAATACATCAAAAAAAAAAAAAAATTAGCCAAGCGTGGTAGCATGAGCCTGTAGTTCCAGCTACTTGGAAGTGGAAGGACCACCAGAGCCCAGCAGGTCGAGGCTGCGGTGGCCAGGAACATGCCACTGCACTCCAGTCTGGGCGACAGAGTGAGACTCCAACTCAAAAATAAAAAATAAAAATAAAATAAAATAAAGTGCACAATAAGTGTTATGTATTTGAATCATCCTGAAACCATCCCCTTCCCATAACCCCATGAAAAAATTGTCTTCCATGAAACCAGTCTCTAGCCAGGCTCGGTGGCTCAGCCTGTAATCCTGCGCTTGGAGGCTGAGGTGAGTGGATTGCCTGAGCCCGTGGTTCGAGACCCGCCTGGGCAACTTGGCAAGACCTCATCTCTACAATAAAAATTTTAAAAAATCAGCCGGGCATGGTAGCGTGTGCCTGTAATTCCGGCTACTTGAAAGGCTGAGGTGGAAGGATCGCCGGAGCCCAGCAGGTTGAGGCTGCGGTGGCCGGGAGCGGCACTGCACTCCAGTCTGGGCAACAAAGTGAGACTCCAACTCAAAAAAAAAAAAAGAAACCAATCTCTGATACCAAAAAGGTTGGGGACTCCTGCCCTAGGGTATCTCACCAGAATACTCCCCCCAACTTTTTCCCCTGGAAATCCTAAATCTTATATTTTGGGAAGTCCTCCATGATTGTGCCTTGTTTCAGGACATATACAAAGACTGTACTGTCCAATATGGTAGCCACTGACCACATGTGGCTATTGACAGCTTGAAATATGGCTTGTCTGAATGGAAGTATGCTGCAGGTACAAAATATTGACTGGATTTCATAGACTTTTATAAATAAAAGACTTTAAATTTTTTATACTGATTATATGTTGAGACAAAAATCTTTTTTATATATTGAATTAAATAAGAAATTATTTAAATCAATTGTGGCTGGGCGCAGTGGCTTAACCTGTAATCCCAGTACTTCGGGAGGCCGAGGTGAGAGGATTGCCTGAGCCTAGAGTTTTGAGACCAGCCTGGACAACTTGGTGAGACCTCGTTTCTACAATATATCACAAAAACTAGCCAGGCGTGGTGGCGTGCATCTGTAGTTCTAGCTACTTGGAAGACTGAGGCAGAAGGATTGCCTGAGTCTAGCAGGTCGAGGCTGCAGTGGCCGTGAGCGTGCTGCTGCATGCCAGCCTGGGCAATAAAAGTGAGACTCCAATTCACAAAATAAATAAATAAATAATCAATTAATTTTATGCATTTCTCTTTAATTTTCTTAAACGTGGCTACCAGAAAATTGTAAATTATATAAGTGGCTTGCATTATATTTCTATAAAGAAGTGAAATATAGTTGGTATAAAGAAGCTCTTGTCTGAGGCTGGACACAGTGGCTCATGTCTGTTATTCCAGCACTTTGGGAGACCGAGGCAGAAGGATTGCTTGAGCTCAGAAGTTTAAGACCAGTCAGAGAAACATAGTGAGACCTCGTCTCTACAAAAAAAAAAAATTAAAAATTAGCCAGTTGTGGTGCCATGTGCCTGTAGTCCTAGCTACTCCAGAGGCTGAGGTAGGAGGATCGCTTGAGCCCAGGAGGTTGAGGCTGCAGTAAGCTGTGATCCTGCCACTGCAGCCTGGGTGACAGAGTGAAACCCTGACTCAGGGAAGAAAAAAAATAATCTCTTGTCCACGCAGAGGTAGGAGAGCATTGCCCTATGTATTTGTCTAAGGGTTCCCTGAGGTATTCTCTGGTTAACAGCATTTCCTTTTACAGGTGTCATGGAACAGTTTGCTATCTCTGAGGCCACACTCATGGCCTGGTCTTCCATGGATGGTGAGGACATGAGTGTGAACTCTACGCAGGAGCCATTGGGCTGCAACTACAGTGACAACTACCAAGAGTTGATGGAGAGTCAGGGTAAGAGATATTTCCAGAATCCAACCCCTGGGCTCTACTTGGCCTCCCCAGCTATCTAGGCTACCTCCACTTACCTCTATTCTTTTAAGACTTGCCTGTCCATCTCAGCTTTCCCATTGTCCTCCTGCTCTCTGTGCTACTGTGGCTGCTGTTGATATTCTGTGGCCCCACTTACCTGTGTGATTCTTTTTACAGATGCTCTGGCTCAAGCCCCCATGGATGGATGGCCTCACTCCTATGTGTCCCAGGGCATGTACTGTCTGGGGTCATCAGATGCCTGGGAAGCCAGCGACCAGTCCCTCATCGCCTCTCCAGCCACAGGATCCTATCTTGGCCCTGCATTTGATGACTCACAGCCCAGCTTGCATGAAATGGGACCTTCCCAACCTGCTTCAGGATATTCTGCTCAGGATCCTCCACCTTTGCTTGGGGGAGACACTGACTGGGCTCCAGGGGTGGGTGGGGTGGACCTGGCCACGGGCCCTGCTGAGGAGGAAAAAAGGCCATTGGCCCCTGAGGAGGAGGAGGATGCAGGATGCCGGGATCTGGAATCACTTTCTCCACGAGAAGACCCTGAGATGTCTACTGCACTCAGCCGGAAGGTGTCTGACGTCACATCCTCAGGTGTGCAGTCCTTTGATGAGGAGGAAGGCGAGGCCAATAACTAGCTTCCTCCCCGCTCCTGACGCCCTGCTTTCCACTCCCACCTGAGGGCCATGGCTGCAACCCATACCGTCCCTTCCCCTGGCAGTACAGCTGAAACCCGGGCAGGTGACAGCAGGGCACCCAACAGCTTCCAGTCCTCTCCCAAAGATGGAGGACCAAGATGGGGTTCTATCCAGGCTTACGCTCTAGAAACCACAGGGCTGGGAACTGAGACCCAGCAACTAGATGGCAAAGCGAACTTGGGCAAAGGACCCAGCTGTGGGCTTCTGGGTCTGTGCTGCTGAAGTCCCCAGTGCTTGCAGCCCAGGGACAGGAGTGCCGCGCCACGGGCCAGACTGGATCTCAGTTCTTCACTCCCTGATTTGTCTTCCAGGAGCTTTGACTGAATGCCTCCTGAGTACTGTCTGAATGCCTCCTTTCTCCATTTCACTCTTGCTTTACCCAACTCTGTTTTCTCTGGCTGTGGCCCTAACCCTACTGTAAGGAACAGACCTCAAGGTCTGTTGGACATGGCTGGATGGGCACCCGAGGAGCAGCTGAAGGGCATGTCCACATGGAGGGTAGAGAGTCTGCCACAGCTGGTCATGTGGCTTCTGAGATCAGGAGTTGAGAAGGTGGACGTGGCAGCTGGGATTTACAGGGGCACAGATGTGATTCTTTATACCAAGACCTGCCCAGAGACGAGAAGGTCACTGGTGAGACCAAGAACAAACATGGCCACTGTTCTGAGATCTTGAATATCCTGTGACTGAAAGGAGGATCCTACGGATCTGGGAAAAGACCCAGCCAGGGCTGGCTGCTCCAGCTCTCGCTTCCCTTTCTGCCTTCCACCCCTGCTCGGCCCTGAGGAGGGTGAGGGAACACCAGTCTCGGATTAGCCAACAACACAACATGCAGGTATCCCTGCCAGCAGGGGGAGCATGAGGGCTGTGTCTCCCTCACCCCCCACCCCCCCACCCCTAATCCTCTGGAGCTGTTTACACTTTTCTCTTTGCCTTTTTTACATTTTTATAACTTCTTGGGAACTCAGGGTTGAGTAGGGTGGAGGGAGGAGTCCGGTGCTGTCGCTCCCTTGGCCGGGCGGGTCGTTAACTGAGGGCCAGGATGGGCACTCGGCTCCTTCTGCCCCTTCATCAGCTCCTCCCGGGACTCCTGAATGGCCTCACTGCTGTTCTCCCTCCCTTCCCCAGGCCTCCTGCCGGAGGAAGAGAGGAGAATCAGCGATTCTTCCTTCCAACACCTGGTTGCCATGCTGATGGGGACTCAGCTGCATGTGGGACTAGCACTGCTGCAGGAGCACAGGTGGCTGGGGAGGCCAGGCGAAGCCGCAGCTCCGTGGGGCTGGAGGGCACTTTGGCTCTGCCACTGCAGCGGTAGCCACTTCCTGGTCCTTGGCACAGGCAGAGTATGGGTAGAAGAGAGAGGCCTAAGAGGTTCATTGCCCTAGTTCCCTCTTCCCTCGTGCCCATCCGAGGCTCCAGCTCCCAGGCCTTGTGTCCTACCTGCACTTTGTCAGGGATCCTACTACTTGCATCCTCTTCTGGGAGGGGAGTGCTGTCGTCCTCTCCTGGCTCTGGGCACAAACTGCCCTTTAACCCCAGGTCCCAGACTGCATTGCTTTGGAATGAGTAGGTTGAGAGTTGGGTTATTTCTGTCCATCTATGACCCCACCCCACCATCAAGTTCATACTCTCCCCCACATACACTCCTGAAATGCAACCAGGACAGGACAGGGTGTCCCAAGCCTCCCAGAGGGACAGAATGGTTATCCTGAAGTTGATACTTGCAGGAAACGTGGGTGTAGGTATGGTGAGCCAAGGTGGGTGTACAGTCACCTAATTTGGATGATGCCTGCACAGAAGAGACCCCCTTGTGCTTCATAATGTGTCCTGACTCAGTGTCCCAGAACCCCATTTCTAGGAGCTCTGGAAAGTGGTCCAGCATGTCCACCCTGGCGGCTGTCCCTCACCCTAGTCTCCTGCTAGGCCCCTATGGTTTTGCATGCTCACATGACCCTCCTCCCATAGGGCCCCCGGTTCCTCACCTTCTCCAACCTACTCTGTCATCGCATCCCCTCTTCCTCTCATCTCACCCCTTCAATACCCACATTCTCCCCCCACCACAGTGAACGTCTAATACAGGGGGTGGGCTCATTCATCACAGTTTCTTTTGCTCAGGACCCTAGGGAGTTAGGAAGGGTGGACTACAACAGCTCTTTCCTCCCTCCCTTTCCCAAGGAAGCCAAATGGTCCCTGACAAAAGACTAGAGGCCTGAAGGAATGTAGCAGGGATCATGCATGAGCAGGGCCTTGGCATCCCCCAGGATGCTGACACATCATAGCAGACTGGGGGTCGGGCGGGAGTCTATCTCCTGCAAGGAGTTCCCCCCACTCTGAAGAGAGAGGAGACAGAGGAGCTGGCCTGGGAACACCTTAGGACTCTTCTGGAGGGGGGGACTGCTTCTCTGGTGCTGGGGGCAGGGTGCATGGGGGTTTGCTTTTAGCCTATTTCAGGGGGAGGGAAGGGGCATGTGCAGGAAGAGGCTATGGGGGGGTGGGCAAGGGTTGCTTTTCCTCTGGGGTTAAAGGCTGTGCAGCACGTTTTACAGCAGTCCTGGAACAGGGCTGTTTTTATATTCTTGTGAATGAAACTGCTCTTGCTAAATGATTTTCTTTTATTGGGGGGATGCACTTTCATTTTCAATTGGTTTTATGAAGTGAAAATCCAAATCTTCCATTTTTCTGCTTCCACTGCCCCCTCCATCCCCATACACCTTCCCTCGTCCTTGTGTTAAGGAGGGGATCTTGGGGAATGAGTTTATTATCCTCCTCACCCCACCACCCTCCACCTATACATCCCTTACTCTGTCTTCCAGGTCTAGGAAATATTCATTTTTATGGCCAGTCTTAGCATGTTTTCTTAATGTGACATTCTCACCCCAGGCCCAAGAGAGATTCTATGACATATATATTGCAGAGAGAAGTCTATATCAATATATATAAATATTATAGATTATGTACACAAGGGCACGGGCTTCAATGCCTACTGCCAGTCCCCTACCCAGGCTCCAACATTTCTCTTGACCTGGGGAGGTGGGAGGGATGTGATTGTTGGAGAGGGAGAGAGGCTGTGTTCAATGACACTAAACAATGTGGTGGCATCCTCTGACTATGAGTGTCTTATTTGGGGCATGGAGGAGACTGGGCACAGGGGAGGGGGCATGGCTGTGGAACTAAGCTAAACACACGGAGTGGCAAGGAGAGGCTACCTTTCTAGAGAAAGCAGGCTAATGGTGTGTACAACCACAGGGCTCCCTACTGCGGATTTGGGGAGAGGTCTGCCATCTTGATGCTGGGCTCCCAACTCTCCACCCCAAGGAGTGGTTCCTGAGGAACAAGTCTAAAGGAGGGTGGTGTTTGAGTGACCCAGTGATCTAGCTGCTCTGAGCCTTGGTTCTTGGGAGGAGAGGCCCCAGCTAGAGCAGCTCCAGGGCAGAGCTGACCCTTGGCAGGACAAATCAACAGTGGGGAGAGGGCAGGTGCATTTCTGAGGCAGTAACCTGGGCCCTGGGGGGTGAGGAATCTGTATTCTGGAGTAGAAGGGCTTTCTGCCAGAGGCAGTCAGATGACACCATGAGGGTGTGATTAGCACTTGCCCCTTCCACACAGAGCCTTTGGCAACCTTTTATTTCAGATGCTGCCCTTGATCTTGGGTAGCCTTCCACTGCCCTAGTAATGGCCCGGGGCCTGCAGACAGGCAGTGGGAGCCCAGGGCCTGCAGACAGGCAGTGGGAGCCCAGGGTAGGGTGGGGTAGGTGGTTGGAGGCAGATTTCTGGAGGCTCTGAGAAAAGGAAGAAGCAGCTGTGGCCCATCTGGAGGCATATTCTGGGGTGGTTATTGCCCAAGGCCATGTGGTGGTCCCATCTTCCCCTACAGTGTGGTACTTGCAGGGCCACAGTCATTCTGAGCCTCCCCTCACCCACCTCCTGCGGACACTGAAGGACACACAGGCAGGACCAGCAGGGTGCTGGAACAAGAAC